CGGGCTGGGGATTCGAACCCGCCACCTTAGGTGTATGTGGCTGGTGCCTTAGCCGCTTGAGCCACAGGCGCTGAGCCACATTATACCATTTCAAGAACCCATATGAGGTCCAATGAATCCCAGTCCTATCTTGTCATAAGATCTTATTACTAACGACCTTGACTTTATACACTTGAATGTGTTTACTTTTAGTTATCAGTGCTATGAAGCTAACAGCCAAAGACACTTTTAAAAAGTGATTTACAATATGTTTAATGTATCAAGAATATCACTCAAAAAACCTGCTCACCTATTATTTTCATCCTCCAGTTTTCTTAGCCTATTTTTCTCTGATTCTAGCTGAGCCTGAAATCTACTGTTTTCCTGTCTTAAGAGAGAATTCTGTGATTCCATGGAAGACATCTGAATTTTGTTGGCAAGGAGTTCTTCCGTTGCTGCACGTTCTCTTTCAACGGCCGCTGCCAATAAGGTCTGGGATTCACCTGATTGTAGAACAGGAAAGAAAAAATCACATGTACCCAGAGACACCAAGTCCATTCTGACTTTAAACTTTTCATGACACAAGTAGCCCCACTTAAAACTGATAACTAGTTATTGCCTAAGGCAAGAATGCCTACTGAGACAACTAAATTGATCTTGTACGCGCTTTATCATTCTTTTCCCAAAGTACCTTTTTTTTGTTATTTATTTTATTTCATTTTTTAGCAATCCATGTAACTACAACCAAAGTAGTTAAAAGTGGGGTCACGTATTAAACAAGCAGTGGAACAACAAATGTTCCTGGAGGAATTGAATATCTACAGGCAAAGAAAAAAAAACCTAAAACTCACATCATACATGAAAATTAACTACAAATGGATCATAGACTTAAATGTAAAATATAAAACTATAAAACTTTTATAAAAAAAAATAGGAGAAAATCTTTAGAACCTAGGGGATAGGCAAAGAGTACTTAAGTTTGACACCGAAAGCATGAGCCATAGAAAAACTAAAAACTCTTGCAAAAAAATTTTAAACTTGTGTTCTATGTGAAAGGGATGAAAAGGCAAGCTACAGACTGGAAAAAACTAATTGCAAAGTACATTTCTAGGGCTAGTATTTAGAATACACAAAGAATCCTGCACACTCAACATGGAAAATACAAAACAGTCTAGTTAGAAAGTGGGCCAAAGACATGAACAGACATTTCACCATAGAGGATATAAATGGAAAATAAGGACACGAAATGGTGTTCAAAATCATTAGTTACTAAGCAAATGCAAATTAAAATCATAATGAATTATGACAACACATCTGTCTGAGTAACAAAGAAAAAAAGGGACAACATCAAATTTTGGCAAGGATGTGATTACTCTCACATACACAGCCACTTTGGAAATAGTTCGGCCTTTGTTAAAAAATACTAAACATGTGGTGGCGCCCATAGCTCAGTGGGTAGGGTGCCAGCCACATACACCCAGGCTGGCGGGTTCGAACTCAATCTGGGCCTGCTAAACAACAATGACAACTACAACAACAACGAAACAAATAGCCGGGCCTTGTGGCGGGTGTCCGTAGTCCCAGCTACTTGGAAGGCTAAGGGAAGAGAATCACTTAAGCCCAAGAGTTTCAGTTTGCTGTGAGCTGTGATGCCACAGCACCTCTACCCAGGGTGACAACTTGAGACTCTGTCTCAAGAAAAAAAAAAAATTGGCTCGGCGCCCATAGCACAGTGGTCACGGCGCCAGCCACATACACCAATGGTGACAGGTTCGACCCTGTCCTGGGACAACAATGACAAATGCAACAAAAAAAAGCTGGGTGTTGTGGCAGGAGTCTGTAGTTCCAGCTACTTGGGAGGCTGAGGCAAAAGAATCACTTAGGCCCAAGAGTTTGAGGTTGCTGTGAACTGTGACACTATGGCACTCTACTGAGGATGACATAGTGAGACTATCTCAAAAACAGAAACAAAAAAACTAAACATGCAACTACATATGACCCAACAATTACATACTTAGATATTTATCCATAGAAATAAAAATATGTGTACACACTAAACCTTATACATTCAAATTCACAGCAGCTTTTTCTTTAACAGCCAAAACTTGGTATCAGCCCAGAAATCCTCTGTCAGGTGAATACTACAATTATACATTCCATGAAATAAAACTCAACGATAAAAAGATTTACCTATTGATACATACAACAGTTTGTATGAACCTCCACTGAATTATGGTGAGCAAAAAAAGCCAATCCCAAAATGTCATATATTATACAATTTTATTTATCTCACTTTTTGGGGGGAGGGGGGACAGTCTCAAGCTTTCACCCTGGGTAGAATGCCATGGTGTCATAGCTCACAGCAACCTCCAACTCTTGAGCTCAGGCGATTCTCTTGCCTCAGTCTTTCTATTTTTAGTAGATGCAAGCTCTTGATTTTGTTCAGGCTGGTCTTGAACTCACAAGCTTAAGCGATCTGACTGCCTTGGCCACCCAGAGTGCTAGGATTACAGGTGTGAGCCACCCTGCCCGGCCTAACATTTTTGAAAGGACAGAATTTTAGAAATGGAAGACAGATTAGTGGTTGTGAGGGATTTGGGATGGGGTAGAAAGGTTAAGAAGGTGGTAGGTGTGTTTGTTTATACCTTGACTACGGTAATGGATATATGAATGTCCACACAAGTGGTAAAAATGTATAGAACTTATACATACATACACAAATGAGTACTAACAAAACTAGAGAAATCTGAGTAAAACTGGTAGATTTTACAAATATCAATATCCCAGTAGTGAAATTATATGTTATGTTTACAAATTTTTAACATATGAGGATATTGGACAAAATGTACAAGGAACCTTTCTAAGTTATTTCTTATAACTGCAAGTGAATTTACAATTATCTCAATTTTTTTAAAAAAGCATTGAATAAGATTCTAAAATTTAACCAAGGCAAGAATTTTCATGTTTTTCCCCACAAAGCCTACCTAACATTAATACCTCTAATTTACATTGTATGTTCTGCTTATCCACACATAGCATGTGTGTCCTATGGCTTTGCTTCTATTCCTGAGCAATGCCATACATTCCTGAGGGTATGTAGACTCCAGTCTAAAAACCACAATACCAGCTTCTAGTTTCCATTTATTACTAAATTTTCATTTCAGAAGTTATTAATTTCAGAAGTCTCATATTTCATATCACATTAGTCTTAAAAGAGTTATCACAAATAATAACCCTAAAATTTATCCCCATAAATTTAAAAATATATGAAGGTTCATTTAGTTCAATGCCCCTTTTTTAAAGCAGATCAATCTTTCTTCAGACAAGATCTTACAAAAAACTGCAATAAAAAAATAACAGACGAAGGAGGTCCTATTTTCACCACAGCAATCTGAGGAGCCCAGTGCCTTATTTATCAAGCTTCTCTCTCACCATGACAACAGCCCCAAAGGCATCCAAGAGTCCTGTGAATACTGCTTGGAAGCCACCAATCTATGTCACTCTTCCTGATTCACAAAGAGTAGCCCAGATAAAGAGTCTGGAGCAATATAAGTGACGTGTTTCAACTATTTGACTGGATGACTTAAAAAAAAAAAAAAAAAACCACACACAACACCCTGAGTCCATGTCTCCTGCCCTACCGCTCCAGTCTGCTTTTGTCACTACACTATCTCTCAAATCATAATTAGGTTCAGGTATAGGAGGCACATAGAATTTTTCATGAACAGCTTCTGGAATATCTAGCATATCACACACTTCCTAACTGTGCTTGAAGAAAAACATTTTGGAACAATCATTTTCTGTTTTTTAACAGCACAGAAAGGCAACCTGAAGCACGTCTGTAAAGAAGTACAGGCTTGGCACCTGTGGCTCAAGGTGGCTAAGGCACCAGCCACATACACCTAAGGTGGCAGGTTCGAATCCAGCCCGGACCCACCAAACAACAATGACGGCTGCAACCAAAAAATAGCTGGGCATTGTGGCGGGCATCTGTGGTCCCAGCTACTTGGGAGGCTGAGGCAGGAGACTTGCTTGAGCCCAGGAGTTGGAGGTTGCTGTGAGCTGTGAAGCCATGGCACTCTACCCAGGGAGACAGCTTAAGGCTTTGTCTCAAAAAAAAAAGAAGTAGAGTACAGAATCTTAAGACCCCATAGTATCTCTCTTCTAAAGTTTAACTTTGACCTTCGTTAGGCCTATCTCTGCTCTTGGGATTCTACTAGCAACTAGAATCGAATCTGATCTCGACCTCCTATACTATTGCAGACAAACTAGAAAGAGGTCAGATTTAGCAACAGACAAGGAAAACCTGAATGCGGCCATCTGTAAAAATGAATGAAAGAATGACATGGAAGTATTTTAGCCAGGATATGACATAGTAAGTAAGTGAATAAATAGTATGAAGGAGTCACAATTAAGGTATTAAAAAACAGGAGTGGAAAAGAAGAGGTAAAAATCTACATTTAAGACACAAAATATATCAGTTCAAGTGAATTTTAGTTTCAAACCATCATCCTAATTCTATAAATAAGATAAAAGGGTTTCTGCATCAAGTATAAAAACTAAAGCAGTTACCAAGCCTGTCAGAAAGATTCTTCTCTAACTTCTCCCATGATGATGTCTGGGACCCTAGTGTTGCTTGTAAATTTTCTATTTGCCGAAGCAATGGTCTTGTTGTTGATGAAACACTTTGACTCAGTTCTTGGTTTCGATTCTCTGCTTCCTGGAGTCTCTGTATCATGAAATTCTTAAGTCATTACCACTGACAGCAATAAAACACTATTAATAATAGCAAACAAAAAGTTATTAAATATTTCTGGAAAAACTATTTTTCTGAGAGATATAGTGCTTTTTTAAAAATTGTTTTTCTAACTTTAATCCTTTGGTTAGAGTTAAGTTGCACAAGAATATCTAAATAAGTGCTTCTTTACAAAGCATTTCTTAGGCTTTTACTACCTTAAAGTGAAAAAAGAGTTCATTCAAACCCTTCAATAGTTGCTTCCTCATCCACATATTTATAAGTATTTAGAAAAACAGAAAGATCAATCTAAGTTGTAGTTCCTCTTCCTTTTCCTATGCACATTCACTGATGGAAAATTAATTAAAGTAATGACACAGAAACTGGGCACAGCTTATCTGCCCCACAGTAATCAAAGACTGATTCTTATTAATAAGCTAGCTATTACAAATGAAAAAGGAATACGGAACATGCAATAAATACATCATGTTAAGATTATTTTCTATAAAACAAATTAGGGATTTTCCAGTATACATTTTTAAGGTGCTCACTTTGACTTTACTTACATAAGCCACAAAATCACTGTGAAATAAAAGTCTGGTAGTAATCCTCTCAATTCTGCCAAATTATCCCATTAAGTCGTTTTTTAATTTTTAGAAAAACACATGCTTCTTAAATTTGTGTTTAGGAAAACTGTGATAATACCTGCTGCAGTTCACTGATTTCATGGCGTAAATAATCCTCTTTTCTGGCAGCTGTTTGTTCTGCACGCTGCAGTGCCAGCCTAAGGTCACCCACCTGTAGGAGAAAAAATACAATGCCACAAACATGTCAAAGCATTATCTATAACTTGTGTTGCGGGGATACATTTTGTGTTGTTGACTAATTGTTCACGTGTAATACTTTATACTATCGAATGGGCTTTTACATGTGATTATCATCCTATAAGCAATTCCAAAACCGTATCTATGTTCACTATCTTCTTAGAAAAGCACTCTGTTAGGTAAAGGAAAGCACATAAATGTGTACACGACACAGCTATTACCACACAACATTGGAGAAAAGGCAACATATCCATAAACATTTGCCACATAAGGCAGAATGGGACAGGAGCTATGTAAGCTATAAAACACTGGTACACACATTGTAAACTCCCATAGCCTTTTTGGAAAACACAGTATTACTCATCAGTCTTTTCACATTTTTTCATCTTGTCATCCCGGACCTAGAAATTTACTCTATGAAACATAAGTAAGTACCTACAGTATTAGGTAGATAAGCAAAAACAAAAAAAACTGAAATATTCTAAATGCCCCAAAATTTTGCATATCAATATGCAAATATTGATAAAACATGAATATAACCATTAGAAATTATAATGCATAAAACATGTAAAAATGATTTAATCCTAAATGAAAACTATAAATAATATATATGATATTAATTATAAAAATATGTACATGGAGACAAAAGATAAGGAGGTAATATACGAAATTGATGGTACTTATAAAAGATAGTTTTATGGGCTCGGCGCCTATAGCTCAACTGGCTAGGGCGCCAGCCACATACACCTAAGGTGGCAGGTTCGAATCCCCAGCCCGGACCTGCCAAACAACAATGATGGCTGCAACCAAAAAATAGCCAGGCGTTGTGGCGGGTGCCTGTGGTCCCAGCTACTTGGGAGGTGGAGGCAGGAGACTCGCTTGAGCCCAGGAGTTGGAGGTTGCTGTGAGCTGTAATGCCACGGCACTCTGCCCAGGGGGACAGCTTGAGGCTCTGTCTCAAAAAAAAAAAAAAAAAAAAAAAAAAGATAGTTTTATGGATAGACCTATATATGCTCTACCTCCTATACCCCCATTTTTCATTATTGTTCTAATGTATTTTTAACTTAAAATATTGATATTTTATCCCAGTGATAGAGTGGCAGAAACACAAGGAATTTATGGACTGTAGCATGACTTATAATAGCAAAATATTGGAAATAACCCAAATGTCAATAAGAAATAGCCGAACATACAATAAAGAATTATACAACCATAAAAAGAAACTTTTGTAAAAGTTCTATGTTTGCACACTAGTATAAGTGGAAGGCAAAACACAGAAGATGACATGGTATGCATGAAGAAGGATGGAGAAGAGCATTGTGGGACAAGAATATAAAAATGATTGAACTACAAAATCAGGAATGCAGCCAAGAGAAACATGGCTTCACAACAGCAATAAATGTCTTTGGTCACATGACCAATGAAGAATTCAGGTCAAGTGATGAATGGCTTTCGAAACCAGAAGCACAAGAAGGGAAAAGTGTTCCAAAGAGTCTTCATTTCTTGAGGTCCTAAAATCTATGGACTAGAGAGAGAAAAGCTATGTGACTCCTGTCAGGAATCAAGATCACTGTAGTTCCTGTTGGGCTTTTAGTGCAATGGGTGCCCTTGACGACAGATGTTCTAGAAAACTGGCAAACTTATCTCACTGAGTAAGCAGAACCTGGTGGACTGCTCAGAGCCTCAAGGCAACGAAGGCTGCGATGGTAGCCTAATGGACTACGCCTTCTAGTATAGTAAGGAGAATGGAGGTCTGGACTCTGAGGAATCTTATCGATACGATGCAAGAGATGAATCCTGTCAGTATAGGCCTGAGTATTCTGTTGCTAATGACACTGACTTCATGGATATCCCTAAAGAGGAGAAGGCCCTGATGAAGGCAGTAGCAACAGAGGGGCTCATCTCTGTTGCTATTTATGCAGGCCATGAGTCTTTCCAGTTCTATAAAGAAGGCATTTATTTTGAGCCAAACTGCAGCAGTGAAGATGTGGATCATGGTGTTCTGGTGGTTGCTACATATTTAATAAAACAGAACTGGGTAACAATTCTGGGTATTTAAGTATTGGCTGGTAAGGAACAGCTGGGGTGAAGAGTGGGGCATTATGTGATTACACAAAGATGGCCAAAGACCAGAGAAACCACTGTGGAATTGCCACAGAGGCTAGCTATCCCACCGTGTGAGCTGACAGACAGTGCTGAGGAAACACTTGACTGGGGACAGCATGTACAGAGGAGGAACTTTATCTTAAACTGACCAGCCCCAACTGTGTGAAATATACAGGTGAATCACTGAAGATCTGAGTATGATTCAAATTCTACACATTTGTGCATTGGTAAAATGTTACCTCTATTTTAATGACTGCTATAATCGTGTTTGTATTATTGATTCACTGACTGACTTTGGATTTTTGTTTTTAAGAAGATGTATAAACTTTCACCTGCTTAAACAAAACTTAATATCAAAAAAAAGTTCTACATTCTACTATGGAATGATTATCAACATATTTTAGGATGAGTAAATTAAGCAAGTTCTAGAACATCATAAATAGTAAACTATCTTTTACGTACAAAGGATGATATACAAATAAATAAGTGTATATGTATGGGTATATACATACATCTATAAACTTGTAAATGCAGAATATAAATATTTTCTTGCATTTACAAAAAAAAAAACACTAAAAAAAACCAAACACTATTAAAATGGTTACCTGCAGGTAAAGAAAGCCTGGTGAGGGCTAAGTTGGAAGCAAATGTCTGATTTTTATTCTGTTATATATGTTATTACTCTGGAAACACATAAATATTTAACATATTCAAAATGTAAAATTAAGTCAAAAGTGCATAGGATACAATGAGAAAAAAATTAGTTTTTTTTTCAACAAATGATGCTGGGCAACATGGACATCCACGTGCAAAAGACCAAAATGTGAAGACTAAGACGCTTAGAAGAAACCAATAAAAATCTGCATAACCAGCCTGGTGCAGTGACTCACACCTGTAATCCCAGCACTTTGGAAGGCCAGGGAGGTGGGGGTAGGGGTGGTAGCAGGGAGTGGGGGGAAGATCACTTGAACTCAGGAGTTTGAGATTGGACTAGGCAAGAAGAGCGAAACCCTATCTGTACTAAAAATAGAAAAATTAGCCAGGTGTCATGGTGGGCAATGGTAGCCACAGCTACTCAGGTGGCTGAGGCAGGAGAATCACTTGATCCCAATAGTTTGAGGTTGCTGTGAGCTGGGTTGACACCACAGTACTCTAGCCTGGGCAACAAAGTGAGACTCTGCCTTAGGAATAAAAGAAAAAAATCGGCATAACCTTGGATTAAACAATGGTTTCATAAATATGATTCCAAAGTACACGCAATATAGAAAAAAAAGATAGGCTAGATTTCATCAAAATTAAAAACTTTTGGCAATCAATACTGTCAAAAACATGAGGGACTACTCACAGAAAGGGAAAATATTTACAAATCCTGTATCTGACAAGGGTCAAGCATGAAGAATAATATAAAGAACTCTAATGGTAATTTTTAAAAAGCCCAACTAAAAAATGAGGGAAAATTTGAAAATTTGTGCTGGGTGTGGTTGCTCATGCCTATAATCTTAGCACTCTGGGAGGCCAAGGTAGATGGATCGCTCAATCTGAGATCAAGACCAGCCTGAGCAAGAGCAAGACCCCATCTCTACTAAAAATAGAAACACTAGCTGGGCATTGTAGCTGGTCCCTGTAGTTTCAACTACTCAGGAGGTTGAAGCAAGAGGCTTGCTCAAGCCAAAGAGTTTGAGGTTGCTGTGAACTATGCTGCCATGGCACTCTACCCAAGATGACAGGACAGAGTGAGACTGTCTCAAAAAAAAAAAGAAAACTGAATATTTGAATAAATGTCTTCAAAGAAGATACATAAATGGCCAATAAGCACAACAAAAGATGCTTAACATCTTAGTCATTTAAAAAATAATGATGCTTAACATCATTAGTCATTTAAAAAATGCAAATTACCACTTCACATTCACCAACAGAGTGATTAAGTGACCATAACAGGCTTGGCGCCTGTGGCTCAAACGGCTAAGGTGCCAGCCATGTACACTTGAACCGGCGGGTTCGAATCCAGCCCCGGCCCGCCAAACAATAATGATGGCAGCAACCAAAAAATAGCCGGGCTCTGTGGTGGGCGCCTGTAGTCCCAGCTAGTTGGGAGCTGGAGACAGGAGACTCGCTTGAACCCAGGAGTTGGGAGGTTGCTGTGAGCTGTGATGCCATGGCACTCTACCCAGGGCGAGACCTTGAGGCTCTGTCTCCAAAAAAAAAAAAAAAAAGTGCCCATAACAAATGCTGGTAACGATACAGAGAAACTGAAACCCTCACCTATTGCTGGTAAGAATGTAAAATGATACAATTACCCTGGAAAAGTTTGGCAGTTCCTCAAAAAGTTACATAAAGCGTTAGCATAAGACCCCGGGTATATATCCAGGAGCATTTAAAATACATGTTCACACAACAGTTTGTACATGAATAGCAGCATTATTCATAATAAAAAGTATAAATAACCCACATATCCATCAACTGATGATTTTTACAAGACAAAGCCTGCCAAATCTTGTTTTTCCTCTCTCATAGATGGACTCCCACAGATGTTATGAATGTGCTCAGGAGTTAAATAAATTCTCTTGAAATTACATGTAACATTTTTATGCATACTTGAATTTGTCTGATAAAAGAGTTCCTCTACCTTTCATAATATTCTCAAATAGGTTTGAAACTCACACAAAAAATTAAGCAATACTGGTAAAACATAAGCATCACTTTAACAACAGTTTAAAAACCACATACACTTGACTAAGTACTTTTTATCCAGTATTCTTTGAAATCTAACACATGTACCACTATGTAACGTTGAATTCAAACTAGCCAATGAACTGTTCAATTTGCAGAAACATAAATAAATACTTAAAAGCCTCCTTTAATCCATCATCCATTGCTTACCTGAATTGCTAATGCTTCTTGCTGCTCTCGGGCTTCCTCTTGGGCCTTCTCCACTGCTGCAGAAAGCTCTTCTTTAGCTTTCATTTCACGGCTCAGAGCAGCTTCCTGTGCCTCACTGTCCTTCGCAGCATTGGCTTTGTGAAGATCAGTAAGTTCTCTTAAAAAATTAGATTGAGTTTGTAAATGTTGCTAGTGATCAGATAATTAAAGTATTTCCTCAACATCCTACTTTGAAAATTCATTCTAAATGGGTTGCATATTTGTTGACTTTTCTTACTTGTATGCACTATCCAGGGCAGCCTGAATACTTCGGTTCTTTTCTTCAAGTTCATCCATGTCTACGTGAAGTTGGCCAAGATCCTTTTCCTGGCGTCCTACCACAGAATTCAGTTTTTTAATATTTTCTCTATGTTGTTTCTCCACCTCTTCTTTGCCATCAAGGACCTATATGTTATATAAACAGACAAAAGTATTTTTCAAAAAATAACACCACAGTATCTAAGTATATTCTAGGAATCTATAATTAAGAAAAATCTTATGCACCTATTAAATTGTTTAAAAAATTCTCACATGATAGATCCCATTAAATTATTTCAAAGGCTCCATAAACCATGGCCAATTGTTCATATGGGAAATAATAACAACACATGGATATAAAGAATGATAATTGCTACCCACCTGTTTTAAATGTTGCAACTCCTCTTCTAGTTCTTTAACTTTTTTGTTCAGCTTTGCAATAATATTTTCATTGTCTTTGTCTTTAGCTCTTAGTTTCTTAATGATGTTAGAATTATGAAGCTGCTGTTTTGAAAGTTTTTCTCCTGGTGATGGTTAAAAATTTGTAAATTCAAATGATAACAATTCCATAACAATCTGAATGTTTTATCTAACCAGTGACACAAGAAAAATTTTTAAATCACAATTTTGTGGCGAGGCATGGTGGTTCATGCCTGTAATCCTAATACTCTGCGAGGCCAAAGTGGATGGACTGAGCTCAGGAGTTCAAGACCAGCCTAAGCAAGAATGAAGACTTCTGTCTCTACCAAAAAAATTAAAAAACTAAGGCAAGAGGATTGCTTGAGTCCAGAAGTTGGAGGTTGCTGTGAGCTATGATGCCATGGCACTCTGTCCAAGGTGACAGCTTAAGACTCTGATGTCTCAAAAAAATTTTAAAAATAAAATTAAAAATAAACAGAAAAGGCTCAGTACCTGTAGCTCAGCAGCTAGGGCGCCGGCCACATACACCCGAGCTGGGGGGTTCGAATCCAACCCAGGTCTGCCAAACAACAGTGGCAACTACAACAAAAAAATAGCTGGGCCAACGTTGTGGTGGGTGCCTGTAGTCCCAGCTACTTTGGCGGCTGAGGCAAGAGAATCATTTAAGCCCAAAGAGTTTGAGGTTGCTGTGAGCTCTGACAGCACACAGGGCAACATAGTGAGACCATGTCTCAAAAATAAATAAATAAATAAATAAATAAGAAAAACTAGCCGGGCATGGTGGTGGGCGCCTATAATCCCAGCTACTTGAGAGGCTGAGGCAGGAAGATTGCTTGAGCCCAGGGGGTTGAGGTTGCTGTGAGCTCTGACAATGCCACAGCACTCTACTCAAGGCAATAAAGTGAGATTCTATCTCAAGAAAAAAAAATTTTTTTAGAACATCACAATTTTGTTTTGTTTTGTTTGTAGAAACAGAGTCTCACTTTATCACCCTTGGTAGAGTGCCCTGGAGTCACAGCTCACAGCAACCTCCAACTCCTGGGCTTAGGTGATTCTCTTGCCTCAGCGTCCCAAGTAGCTCGGACTACAGGCACCCACCACAACACCCAACTATTTTTTTGTTGCAATTTGGTCGGGGCTGGGTTTGAACCCACCACCCTTGGTATATGGGGCCGGTGGCCTACCAACCGAGCCACAGAACATCACAATTTTGTTAACCCCTAATGTAACAAATGACCTACACAAGAATCATCAATGAATGTTAAAATTACAAAGTGAGAAAGGATGTTGGGGAACAAGATATTGACATGATCTTAAAGAATTACTCCTGTATAATTCTTATGAATTACAAAAGGGAAAAATGTGCTTTTACAATGAAAAGATCTGGCAGTCACTACCTTAAGCAAGTATTCAGATTTGGCATTACCAATGTGGTAGTCTGACATTATGTTCCTGCTGATATAATGCAGTGATGTAGATGCACAGAATCACCTATGTGATTTCCTACTAGAAATTTGATCTGGCTCGGCGCCTATAGCTCAA